CATAACTATTACGTCCCTAACAACGAGAGACAATGAGAGAAAGAGATAGTTCACATTAAGTTCGCACAAGGATAAATACCTGTAGAATTCATAGAATGATATTCAGAGCTTTCACACGTAGGGAATCTTGAAGTGGCAATAAGTCCTTCAGAGCGATGGCGATTAGGAACAGTGATGGCGGCGGCGAATGGCGAGCAATGGCCTACACACGCACAGTTCAATAATAACTCAATGACTCTCTCTGTCCGACTCACGATTTTAAATACAAAGATAGATCTTAGTAAATGTCAGAACTATAAAGTTTCTTTTTTTTACAATGAACTTCCATGCTGATTGTCAACTGTTGGCATCTCTTACATTAATATATTTATCTATATTTATCCTCCAATCTGCTCTTATATACTGTATTTCAATTTTTTCAGTGCAAATGTTTGGGAGTATGAAGTCTTAATTATCTCTGCCTCATCCCATTTTAATATAGGCCTTCAGTTTGTGACATCTGGGATGGGATTGTATTGTAAAAGAACTATATTAGAGTCACCATAAGAAACTTGGAAGTCAGGCTTAAAGAGCATCAATATAGTGTAAAAAAGTCTTTATAATACAGCACTATCCTAGATGTCACAAACTGAAGGTGCTACAGTAAAATGGGATGAGGCAGAGATAATTAAGACTTTACACTCCCAAACATTTGCACTGAACATTGAAAAAACTTATATAAGAGCAGATTGGAGGATAAATGTATTAATGCAAGAAACGCTAACAGCTTACTAAGGAAATCCTCATTAATTAATTAACCCTTTCCGTCCAATTCAAACTCTGATAGTTCAAAATCCTGTTAGTTCATAACTGTACTTTTGTCCTGGCTGGGGATACAGAGATTTACATATTAAGGAATTTGGTTAGCTTGAAATATGGCTACTTCTCAATTTGAAATGAAAATTCTGTCCAAACTGCAATATGCGTCCATTAACTCATATGTTTTGATCAAAGTGCCTCCATGCTGTAAGAAAACAATAAACCAAGAACAATTCTAATCTGGTCAATATGACTTTGCTTTTACAGTAATACATTTTTGGGCATCACCTAATTTATGGACTACCATTTTTTTTCCTCTCTTATTTCATAAAATACGTCTGTGTTTTGGGATTGCAAGATTGGGCTACAACTAACAGATTGAGATATTTGTAGGACTCTAGATACTATTTTTGAGCAATTTACTACTTTTTGGACCACTTTAAAATTAATTTGGGCTACAATTCAAGGAATTCTGTTTTGCTTTTCATAAAACCTATCTGGTGACCTGTGAGGCTCTCACCAAATGTGCTGTTTACCTACGGTTTATTTATATTGTGTTGGGTTTAGTGGGTAATACTCGGCTTAAACCGGTGGCTGTGTACTATGCCGGACTAGAGTCAAGGCATAGCAACCAAAACAAATTAAATAAGTGTGTCAGTGTCTGCATTCAGGAATTTCCTAACACTGTGGCATGTATTCAATATAGTGGCCTTCTGTAGTGTTATGTATGTATTTCTATTCAATTCTAATGTTTCCAGGCTTTTGTGTAGTGTGTGTGGTATCACACCTGTACAGGAGAGAACAACAGGTACAATAACTACCCTATCCATCCTCCACAGATGCCTTATTTCCTGGGCAAGTTCTGTGTACTTGCTAATTTTTTCAGTGCATGTGTTTTGTACATTGTGAGTGTTTGGAA